ACCTTCCTTTTCGAATTTGTTTACGGTCACCTGCCCCCGGCTCAGAGACAGGCTCCGCCATTGTTAGGCGCTCTGAGACCCTGCCCTGCGTGGAGGGCACTATATAAATGCAAGTTGTTGTAATAATTTAAATATTACATTAAGAATTGTTAATTCATAATTAATTCTTATTTATTAATAAGTCAGGTTTTCAGTGTATCTGCCCCACTCTCTGAAACTCCATTCTGTCCTTTTGACTTGCCCCTTCCCTCATCTCCTTCAAGGTCCGTCTCAAGGCCTACCTTCCTGACCATGCTTTTGGCCATCCTCCCACCCCGGTTTCCAACCCTCAGCCCCTGTCCCCAGCTTGGGTGAATACCTTGGACTATACCAGCACCTTAGGACATCCTCCTGATGTAAAAGGCACAATATGAATGTAAATTTGTATTGTATTAAGTAAAATAGCTTGAATCTGTGAGAGGATGGTAGGGTGAGTATTCTTGAATGAGGTTATCAAATGGGCTCGTAGGCCTTCTTTGTTCAAAGCTCTCTGTGATATTTATTTGCAGAAATGTTTGAACAAAATAGATCCAGGTAAATTCACTGCGATGAAAATCACATTCTGGTTTGCCATTGATGGCAGGCCTGCAGTAATGAAAATGTGTCCGAAAACATGATTAACTGAGGTACATAGAAAAAAAAAGCCTCATTAGCTATTGATATACAATACAATGAGAGGATAAGATTAGGAAAACAACAATGGACAGAAGGTTTAAATCAGGGCATGAGGGATGAAGATAGCAGTTTCTGGAATCTGGCCAATGCAATTAGCAGTTACAAAAGTTACGAAGCATCTGCTTGTTAAGCCTAATGCTGCATTTAAAGTAACACACATGAGCTAAATCAATACACGATTTGGCTCCCTTTTGCTCCAAAAGTCCCAAATGAATAAGAGAATTATTTTCAATGAAACCTACTTTTTTTCTTGGGTTTCATAAATTAACATTCAATTAAGTGACATTGGGCTCCATATTTTTGGGGTCACTAATTTTAATGACAATGCAGATGCGCATTAACCAGAGGGAATGTCATGGGTTCGTGGCAATAGCCAATTTACTGTTCACCATTCACTTAGCAGTCTTATGCCACAAATTGAAGTTAAAAGTTTTAACAAAGGAGAGGAAAAAGACCAACACAATGTCTTAAAATGCTTTACAGAAACAAAGTGGGAGTCCAAGCAAGGTGGGAGGTGGTGGGGGTGGGAGTGATCAAAAGTGCAAAGAGATCAGCTTTTTGAAAGGTTTTGTAAACAGAGAAGGAAGGTGTAAGGTGGAGGGATTTTGGGAGAAGAGTTCCATAAAGCGAGGACAAGTCAACGGTGAGGCAGAGGACATGCAGCAAACTTGAATTAATGTTCAAATCCCTCAATGGCCTTGCTCCACCCTACAGCCTGCAACCCTATCACTTGTTCAGTAAACATCAGCCTACTTGCAGTAATGAGCCACAAGAAATACCTAATGTGAAACCAATGTCACAATATTTGTACACCACAATAGTGTTGGAGGTGACAAAAACAACAGAAAACGTGCAGCCAGTAATAATACTGATCTGTAAAAGACAAAGTGAAGACCATGTTTATGCATCTTGATAAGGAAAGTCAACCTATCAATAGAGCTCATGAGGGTGATCACAGTCTCTGAGCTGTGAGAGTTGTTGCTATCCAAAATAATGTGTGTTTTCCCCTTCACTCAACGGATAAAGGGCTTGTCGCATGCACCCAATCTCTCCATGCCACCATTGGTACCCAGCCCTTCTAACCTCTGAAATGCCCTACCTTTGATTTCAAGATCCTCATCCTCACCTACAAGGCCATTCACGGCCTTGCTCCCTCCTACCTCTCCAACCTACTATCCCCCTACCTACCTGCCCGTACCCTCCGTTCCTCTGGCTCCGGTCTGCTCCACGTCCCCCGCCCCAACCGCCCTACTATCGGTGGTCGGGCCTTCAGCCTCTCAGCCCCGAGGCTCTGGAACTCCATCCCCCAGTGCCTTCGCCTTGCTTCCTCCCTTTCCTCCTTCAAGGCCGGTCTCAAAACCTTTCTCTTTGACCGAGCCTTCAGCTCCCCTCTCGACTCTCTTCCTCCTCCTCGCTCCCTCCCTTCCTCCCCTCACCCTGACCATTTCCCCCTCCTCTCTCCCTCCTTCCCTCCCCTCACCCTGACCATTTCCCCCTGCTCGGGTCATGACCCAACTGTGCAGCGCCTTGGGACGTCCTCCTGACGTGAAAGGCGCTCTATAAATGGAATCTTGTTGTTGTTGTTGTTGTTGTTTGCCCTCTGCTCACCCCTCTTTATTTATCTTTAAATCCCTCCTTAAGACTCACCTCTTTGATTATGCTGATGGTCACCTCCCCCTCCACAATTGTGCTGGATTATTACTGCCAGAAAAGTATAAATTGGTTCTGGATGTAAACGCCCAATAGGGATATCCAACTTCTCTATGAGAATTCAGCTCCCAGACCAGATCTGGCAGGTCAGATACATGATACATGAGGTTCTCAGCAGGAGACGTGCTTTCTTGGCACAAGTCAAAAAAGTACCCGACCATTTTCTCACAAGAACTTTTTAAACTGCTACTTGTTGTTCAATGAAATTTAGCAGTGCATGGCAAATATAAAAAACAGAGTGAGAGGGGAGGTGTTGAATATAGAATTGCATCACT